GTACCCAGGCCAAATGGCACCTTCTATGGGAAATTGAAAAGGCCTAACATAAGACATGATCTTAATGGGTGCTGGAGTTTTAAGAAAGAACAAAGAGAGAGTTGTTAGGTTGGAGGGACACAAATTGAAGAGCTAGGTCTTGGAATTGTCAGTGCCTGGAACAGAGCATGGTGTAAAATGATAAACAAACAAGCAAACACATAAACAAACGTGTCAGCTTCCTATTTCGCCTTCCTGTGTCAGTTATTATAATCCCATCAGTCAGCCTTTTCTTCCTCTCCATCCTCCTCTATCTCCCTCTTCGCCCCATCTCACTTTCTTTCTCTCCATCTCCTTTCCTGTTCTTTTTTAAAAATTTGTTTACTGATCTCGTCTTGTCCCTTCCCTTTCCACCAAAATAATATGTTCAACGTGTAGACTTGCTCAGAGACTTGTGGGAGGGAATGTGTTAGCACCAACTCTAAGAAACATGGTTAAATTCTGAAAAACTCTTCTTTTATAGAAAAACAGCTAAAAATGGAAAGCTACGGCCCATTTTTGAAGCCATAGAAGATCCCACTCTAATATATGGACTTTAGAGCTAGAAAAGGACACATTCAAAGTCACTAATCCCCTTACAGACAGGGTGAAAGAGGCTCAGATGTGCCCGAGGGTACTTGGGATGGCATGGGTGGATGATAGGAGCAGCAGGTGGGGGTGGTGGGTTAGCAGTTGGACCACCCCATCTCGTGACAGTAAACATTTATTATTATTCTAAATCCACTGCCAGCTACCAGGAAGTCTTAAGTTTTCTCACTGCATCTACATAGAATCCATACGCTGTTTCCAAGATGTCCATGCATTTATAATCCCAAATAGTAGATGTCCAGCTCTGCACTATGGTGCCAGACCTTACTGGTACATATAAGGCAGAAGTAAAGAAAGAGAGGAAAAAGAGAAAGAAGAAGAAAAGAGAAAATATTAAAGAGGGAAGAAAGAAAAAAAGGGAGACAAGAAAAAAGAAAAAATGTAAAAAATATCTCTGCCAAGGAAAACTAAAAGGGTCTTGCTAAGATATGGCCCCACCTATGGAGGGGTTGGTATCTCTCCCCTCAGGAACGATCACTGTTTCACTTGGTAAGCCATGCAGTTATTGAGATTCTCTCTCTGCCCTGGAGAAAGGATACCAACCCTGCCTCAGGTGGGGCCATGTCATGGCAGCATCCTCCTAGTTTTCCTTGGCAGAGATCCTTTTCATATTCTTTCTTTTTTCTTGTCTCCCTTCTTTTCCTCCCTCTCTCTTTAATATTTTCTCTTTTTCTTTTCTTTCTCTTTTTCCTCCCTTTTCTCACTTCTGCCTTATATCTACCAGTAAGGCCCAGTCGTGGCCATGGGGCTTTGGAAACAAAGACTTAGCTTACCCTGAAGATCAAGGAAAGCATGGAGGACCCATTTAATAGGCAGTACTCACTGAGATTTTAGTATGTGCCAGACTGTGTGACGAACTCTACATGCACTATCTCTTAATGTGGAGTCCAGGTGGCACAGTGGTTAAGAGCTAGGGCTGCCAACCAACAAATTAGCAGTTCGAATTCACCAGCTGCTCCTTGGAAACCCTATAGGGCAGTTCTACTCTGTCCTGCAGGGACACTGTAGGTCAGAATCGACTCGATGGCAAGGAGTTTGGCTTTTTTGGTTTTATCTCTTAATCTTTACACTTTTTAAAAAATTTATCAGGTGGTTACTATCATTATCTGCATCTTACAGGTGAGAAAGTTAGGCTCACAGAGTTTGAAAAACTTGTTCAGAGTCACACAGACAGTAAATGGCAGAGTGAGGCTTTCTGACATTCATGGCCAAAAAGTATGCCACTTCCTACAAGAAGCAGCCTGGATCTCTTGTCTGTTTGGACAGAACATATGTTGACCTGAACATTCTGGATTCTAGAAACTCTCAGAGCCTGTGGCAGCCTGTTTCTGTGAATGGCTTCAGCCTGCCATCTTTGGGGGGCATGAACACTTGCTGGGGGCTGACTGGTCAGTGTAGACGGAAGTTCCTTGGGAACTGAGCTCTCCTCTCTGCCATCCCTGTTGCATTCATTTCCTAGGGCTGCTGTAACAAATCACTACAAACTGGGTGGCTTAAAACAACAGAAATTTATTCTGTCCCAGTTCTGGAGGCCAGAAGTCAGAAATTAAGGGGTCAGCAAGGTTGGTTCCTTCTGAGGGCTCTGAGGGACAATCTGTTCCTCTCTCCTAGCTTCTGGTGGTTGCTGTCAATCCTTGGCATTCCTTGGTTTGTAGACGAGTCACTCCAGTCTCTGCCTCTAACTTCACATGGCCTTCTTCCGTGTGTGTGTGTGTGTGTGTGTGTGTGTGTGTGTGTATCTGCAATCTCCCTCTCCTTATAAGGACATCAGTCATCAGATTTAGGACCCATCTTAATCTACCCAATACCAAGCAATGGTGTTTTCAATCGCCTCATATGCATGTGAAAGCTGGACAATGAATAAGGAAGACTGAAGAAGAATTGATGCCTTTGAATTACAGTGTTGGTGAACAATGCTGAACATACCATGAAGAACGAACAAATCTGTCTTGGAAGTAGTACAGCCAGATGTTCCCTAGAAGCAAGGATGGCGAGAATTTGTCTCACATACTTTGGACATATTATCAGGAGGGACCACTCCCTGGAAAATGACATCATGCTTGGTAAAGTAGAGGGTCAGTGAAAGAGAGGAATACTCTCAACGAGACTGATTGACACAGTGGCTGAAATGATGGGCTTAAATAGTGCAACAATTGTGAGAATGGTGTAGGACTGGGCAGAGTTTCGTTCTGTTGTACATAGGGAAGCTATGAAACGGAACCAACTCGCCAACACCTAACAACAACAACTGATCCAGTATAACCTCATCTTGATTACATCTGTAAAGACCCTATTTCCAAAGAAAGTCACATTCAAAGGTACTGAGGGTTAGGACTTAAACGTATTTTTTTGTGGGAAACACAATTCAACCCACAACACCTGTTTTCATTTGCGTGGGTCATGCTGCGTCTTCGCTTCAGAGTTTTGCTTTCTGAGGGAAGACTCTTGCTTTGGATTCATAGACGGATTAAAGGAACATGAGAGGTGGCCTTGATTGTTGACTTTGGCCTCCAGGGATTGATGAGGGTGTTTATGTACTATGAAGAGACATTCTCAAGTCTTTCTACTCAGGCCTCCAAAGTTTCAAAGATTTGATAGTAATGATTAGTCTCAAGAGGAAGAATGGCAAGTAGCCTCCTTATCCAGTTTTCATGTGACTGTCCCTTCCCACCCACTGCTCCAGTATTGACAAGTGAAAGAAAAAAGAGTAGAAAAACTAGATTATAGATTTATTGAGGGAAGAGACACTGTCTTAGTTATTTCTTTACCTCTGTCAGAGTGTATGCTGAGGAAGTAAATGTTTGTTAGATGGATGGGTAAATGAGAGGGGAAGGGGCCAGGGACCCCACAAAGAAGTGGAGGAGGAAAATCAAAGCTGGGTTTATATGCACCCACTATCCCCAAAACACACAACCTTTCATACGTGGGTTCCTAATATCTGCACCAGGTTAATGCTGTCTTTGTCCCCTTGTTGCAGCTCTGTTTCATTCTATTTCTGCATCTATACACTCCTGGTTATCCAGATGGAGGAGACCTTGGGAAGGTGGCATGTCTCACCCCTCTTCTGTACAGCACCTATGCACTAAGAGGCCGAATAGCATAGGACTCAAGAGAGCAAGTTAGCCAAATAAGGATTTGAGACTGGGCTCACTATTTACCAGCTGTGTGGCCTTGGCCTATTATTTATTCCTCTCAGCCTCTCTTATCTGCAAACTGAGTAGAAGGCATTTCTTTATGTGAACTTTTTTGAAATAAAACTACAAAAATAATAATTGCATAGCTCAATAAATGTTCACAAAGTAGCATACCCCAAGTTGAAGAGCAGAACTTTACCAGAACCACAGAAACCCCTTCTCATCTCCTGCCAGGTACTATTCCACCCCACCTCTAGCCGAGAGTAATTTTCATTCCAATTTCTTACGTCTTATTTTACTTTCACCTGATTTTGAACTTTATATAGATGAAAGCATATATAATGTACCTTTTGAATTTGGCTTCTCTTGCTTAACATCATGTTTATGAGAGATTCATCTATGCTGTGGGATACAGTTGCCATTTAATTCTCCTTGTTGAATAGTATTCCAATGTGTAAATACACCACAATTTAATTACCCATTACATATTTGTGAACATTTGGGTTATTTAGTCTTTGACTTTTATAAATGCAGCTGCTCTGAACATTCTCACATACTTTTTGGTGGACAGGTGCACTCAGCCACCTAAGAGTGGAATTGCTGGCTTCTAGAATGTGAACATCTCTCAGCTTTATAGAAACTGCCCAACATTTTAATGGACATTTTTAACCTCACGGTGTAGTGAGGATTAAATTGGGTTATATAAAGCATTCCATCTGGTCCTTGGCAGACAGGACACCTTGAATACATGTTTAAAAATGTAATGAGGCCATAATATTCTATAAGTTAAAGTACTATAATGGGTGTAATACTACTGCTTGTTAATTTAGGTTGTTTATTTTATGTAATGTTGCAGTGAATGTCTTTTTTTATAGTTCTTTTCTTCTTTTGAAAAGTTTGCTTTGGGTAAATTCTCAGGATGGGGTAAGGGAATCAAAGGATATGTGACCGTAGGGACTGTCACGCTTGGAAAGGCTATGAGGCTTGCTGGAGAGTGGAGAGCAAGGAAGCCAGCCTTTCATACTAGGGTGCAGGGAAGAGAGGCTGTGAAGACGGGGGTTTCTGGGTTTTGTGGAGGAGTGTCTTACAGAGGACGGTAGGGTCAAATGGAGGATGACTTTTGTAAATGCTGGTATATTTTAGGGCAACTAAATAGCTAGTTCCTTAGAAGGGAAACTGAGTAATTTGAAAAACAATGTATAACAACCACTAAATCAGGAAGGAGAGCAAAACCACAGGTGCAAGGCATTTTCATTTTTATTCTTTTTCCACAAATATTAGTATGATTAAAGTTAAAGAAGAGGAGAAGGGGGGACGAGATGGGTGGGTAGCTGCAAGGCTGAAATAGGGATAGGTGTTTTGTGGGGAAGGGGCCAGAGGCCTAAGGAGGGGAGGGGGTGAGGCTGGGACTGAGGACCAGACATGGATGCCTCAGTAGGCCTCCCTCTAACACTCGTCCCTGATGAAGCTCTCGACGATAGGCGAGGACAGGGTCTTATGCGTGACCTCGCAGGAGTAGCGACTATGGCTTTTGTACTCGGTTGAGGGGATCGTCAATGTGCTACTGAGACTGTAGGTACCCTTGCTGTCCTGCTCTGTGAAGCTGTTCTGGAAGTTCTTTGTCTGGTCGGCATTATCCACCTTCCACTTCAGGGTGATGTCTCTGGGGTAGAACTCATTCACTATGCACACTACAGAAGCACTTGCTGTGCCCAACTGTTCCAAAGATGGTGGGAAGATGAAGACTGTCGGTTTAGCATCAGCCCCTGAGGAAGGAAGCACAGCAGATTGTGTTTAAGCAACGCGGGACATTTTCCATTTGAGTGCACTGTTTGTGGACAATCACAGAGCATGCTAGGGACAGACATACAGAAAGCAGCATGCTTATTCAGTATAATTGCAGCAGTGAGACCAGAAAGCAAATTTCTAATCTGGATGATTTTGAGTTTTTCCTCAAGAACCGTTTTAAAAAGTTCTAAATTGCTTTGTTTGAGTTCTTTGAAGCCATTCTGAGGCCTTCTTGTATGCTTATCTGACCTCGTTTTTCTTTCAACGGTGTGGCCTGCCTCCTGCAGTAAACTGATCCCTCAGGCAAAGGAACACAGCCACTTCATCCGAGCCCTCAGAGTTTTGAAGTCAGAATAGGTCTTGGCGCCTCCATGTGGGGCAGAAGAGGCAGCGGCTGTGGGAAGCCTCTGTCGCCTGTCTTTCCCGGCCTCTCTCCGAGGACTGCCTAGTAACGTCAGGCTGTCTTTCCATCTCCTCCTCTTCTTCCCGTGGCTTGGTGGAGTAGGTTCACCCTGCACAGTGGGCCCCAGGCTCTGTGCCTGTGCCTAGGAGGGTGTAAGCTCCCTCACCCTCTGTGATCATGCCAGCAACTCTCCCACCACCGACAGAGGCCTCAAGTGAATCCCAGGCTATTCTGATGATCTGTAACCACATGGGGGCAATTTTCAGCCAGACCGGAAGTGATGTGATGACGTGGGGTCAACTGTAATCTTGGCCACCTGCTTAGGAGGAACTGGCTAGCTTCAGTTCTGACCTTGAGCAGCTGCCAGATGGCCCCCTGGAAATCCCCCTCTGTGGAGATTCAAGCCAGCGGCCGGACAGCAAGTCCCTGGACGGCCACATTCAGTTTGTTCTCATTTAAAGCTAAAACTGACAAATCAAGACTGCTTTGCTGGGAGAAGTTAACAGATAAACGTACAGGTTATTATAAAGCCAACCTCACTGTTAACCAAGAAGTTCAACATAAGATACTGAACTTCTAATGCTTGATATTTTCTTCCCTTCTAACCTTCATAACAAATTATTTTCAGAGAATTGTGTAACAAAATAATGTGATCTCTAGAAATTAAGGAGGGAGAAACCATTCTATGAAGATATTCTTATCTATGATTCCTTGATAGCTTTAAACTATCCATACTGCATTAAAATATTAAACAATTAGCACAGTTAATATGGAAATTATTTCCATAATCTATTGGCTTTATATAGAATTTTAAGGGCCTTAAATTGTCATGTCAGGTTGTTCCAGATCAGAATAAACCTTCTTAAGCATCAGATTTGAAATCAGCTGGGGTAAAAAGACCCAAATTATTAAACTGTATTAGAGGCTATACAATTAAAATATCCATATCAAAATTTTTCTATCATAAAATTAAAGTATTACAACATGTTTATATTAAGTTTTTAGTAATCACATTTATATATGATTACAATATTTGTGCAACTGAAATATCACGGTCCTATCGAAGCAGTTACGTTTTTGAAAATTGAAAACATGTCACAAATTTATATCCGACCCCCCACCCTGCCCAGTTACCATACATTCTTGGTATTTAATGTGAACTCAGTAAAAAAAAAGTTAACTGATCAAGCCCTCAGTGATCAAACTGTTGGCATTAAATTTGATTTTTTTTTTTTGCTGATGTGGACTTTACCCTGCAAAAGGTATATATATTTATTTCTTTGGGATTGAGCTCTTATTATTTAAATAAGTCTGATGAGGATATTGAAATGATTCTATATCACTGAAAAAAATTACTTTAAGTTTTTTATAGTCGGAGTCCACCTCAGCGGCAGCTGACAACAACGACAATGAATGCGAATTTTCTGTTTAAAATTTCTAATAAATTAATCTTTCACCTAGTCTTCCCATGTCAGCTCAGTGCCCACCACAATTCTGTTCTCTTCTTGTTAGATTATTTTTTATCATTGTGCATCAGGAAAGCAAGCCATGGCAAAGTTAATTGTATTAGTGAGCGGTTGCCGTGGTCTTTAGCGGCCAGGCGGCTCTGCCACTCGAGCGTCACGGCGTGGCCCCAAGAGTCAGCTGTGAAGAAAGACCGCCGAAAGGTCTACAGACCACGCTAGCTGAGCCATGGCCTCCTTGGCGGTATAAAAATGTGGCCAAGTAGTAACATGGCCAATTATAACAACAATAAGGAGGAAAAAAGAGAACTCTTTAGAATCTTTCCTACTTTTCTACAAGTTCAAGAGTGTTTAAAAAATGGGATTATTTTACTTTCCTTCATTTTAAACATTTCTTTGAAACTGGGCTTTTGGGAACAATAGTCTTCCTACCATTATGATAAGAGATAGTTTCAAGTTTAGTCTAATGTACAATTTGGATTAAAGAAAATAGGAGACAATTTGTCAAGACCTCACTTCCATGGAACCTCTTGACCTTATAGACATTCTATGCTGATTTGCACAGTTTGTCACTCACATAGACTGTAAAAATGGCATTGCTTTTAATTCTCAATTAAGCCACCTCTTCTACATGGCAAACAAGTATACTTCTCTAACTTTTTCCTGATTTTTAGGTCATACTATTGATTTTTATAGTTATAAAACAATTTATCATGTAGAAGAGAGAAAACACACTAAGAAATACATTTCTCTACTTTTCTTATCATACATACTGAGCAAAAATCAATAAAATGTTTGGCAAAACTCAATGAAAATGAATTTACTCTTGCTCTTCAAAACTCCAAGGGTTCCTTATTCATCTACACTATTCTTTTTTCTTTCAGTCATTTGATTCAGACTAATTTAATCTTTTTTGTCTCCAAATCCACTTTTAGAGATAAACTTAACTTTTGAAACTGATGATAAGTCTGAAATGCTCTCAGTTACACATTTCCACAAAACTTATATTTAAGCCTCTAAAAGTCAATGCTGACAATTAGACCCAAATTTCAGAAGGCAACAGAGAAAAATTACTTATGTTTAATCTCTGAATGGGTCTCTTGACTGAGGGTGATCCACAGGACTGGCTTACTTTCCCCTCAACAAAAGCCTCTTTTTGGGGCTAATCTTACTAGATTGACCCACACAGAGGAAACTGGCAATTTAGACTAGCTCTTTGCTTTTCCTAGAGAAGAACTAATTTTTAGTCCCTTCCTCATCTGACTTTAGGAGGAATCCCATCCTTTTCAGAATTGACCTCAACTCATACCCCAAACATAAAAACCCCCAGATTTCACAAATCTAGAAGAAAAAAGGTTGGAAAAGTGCACTTACGTTTGAGTTCCAGCTTGGTCCCAGCGCCGAAGGGAGCCACAGTGATGGCTCTAACACTTGCCCCCTCAACAAAACCCCCTTTTGAAGCTAATCATACGAGATGGGCTAATTCAGAGAAATATCTCGCTCTCTCTTTCCCATTCTCCCCACAAATCCTATTCTCACAAATTCAACAAACTGTCTGTTTGCTCAGCTTTGAAGTTGATAGATTTTCTGTTCTTTACTTAAAGGTCACTAGAAATGGTCCATTTAACTGAAATGTCACAAACTCACACAAATGATATGATGGGACAAAAACTTCGCAAATAATTGAGCAAAACTGTACTTACGTTTGATGTCCACTTTGGTCCCTCCGCCGAAACTGGCTTCTGCTGTACTCCAAGAGCACAGTGACTCCTCTTAACTTCCCCCTCTACAAAAACCTTTCCTGAGTGAGATGGAGAGCCCTCCTCCCCAGTTAAGTTATTTTGATTAGGAAATTAAAAAAATTAGCTATCACTGAGCCTGCCGTGGAAGAATTTTCCCTCCTCTGTACACAATCTGGGAATGAAATTTGTTATATCTCTGACATCCAACTATTGAAAACTCACAAAAAGGAGTAAAAAGCAAACCAATTAGACAGAAACAGTGAAGAATCAGTCGAATACTTACTTTTGAGCTCCAGCTTGGTGCCACCGCCGAAACTATATACACAGTGGTTCCTCTTAACCTCCCTCCTGTAAAGAAACTGAGCTTCCCTTTCTGACAACTGAGCAAGGCTCTGTCCAGAAGCTATTATTATGCTCCCCAGTACATTTCTGAAGCTATCACTTAGAAAAGTTATTCTCACACAATAACTGGATTTTGTTCTTCATAGAAAATGTATGTTAGTCTTAAGTTTGCCTACAGGCTTTATCTTTACCTGGAGGATGTTAGAGTTTGGCTTCAAAGAGCCAGTTATAGGTTGCATCAGAGACACAGCGACGACAAGACACAGACAGCGGAGGAAAGAAAGTTTAGATTTTACTCACATTTGGTTTCGAGCTTGGTCCCTGAGCTGAACGTCCACCACAGTGATAGCTCTTCATTGTCTGGGCGTACGAAAACCCTTCTCACTGAAGGGGGACAGAATTCAGGGCCAGCTGCTGTATTAACTCCCCTTTGAAGCAGGCAAGCAGGTGTGGGAGTCTGGAAGTTTCTCTGAAGAGGAGAATTTTTGTTTTCTTAGGTGAAATCTAAAGTCCTAGAAGACAGTATATTTATGTCGATGAACTGATTGTACTTTCTTTAGCAATTTACCACAACTGGACTGCTTTTTTTTTTGAAAGTACACTGAATGCAGATTACCTAAAACAAACAAACAAATTTAAAAAATAGGCACTTCACACCGTCTCCTGGGAGGAGGGGATCTTTTGCAGAGGGCAAGCCTCATTCAGTGTAATTATGGAATTTTTTAGATTCTCTCAGTTAGTAATAATGACATTAATGTCTTCCTATTTGAATCTCTCCTTTGCCAGGATGTTGTTTCACAAAGGCAGACTAAATGTATACCAAATCAAGGCACAAATCTTACTTTGAAATGTGTTTTGGAAATAAGCTACTGATGACATGTGAAACAAAAACAAAGAGCAATAGAGTAGTGAAGTAGATTTATTTGATCAATCGGTCTGTTGTCATAGGACAGGAATTGCTCAGAGGGGTATCCACCATGTCTCATTGAGTTGAACCAGGTTCATGCTGTCTTCAGAGCTTCCAGAGAATCATGACATGCCATGGTTCCATCAAGGGCACCGAAGACGTCATTGTGTTTTGTGTACAGCTTCGTTTATTGTAATGTGGTTTCCCTCTTAACTTTCCATCTTTAACCTCAGCATACATTGCTCCCACCATACTAAACCCCTTACAACCCTACTATGGTCTCCAGCTTTTACAAAACACTCCCTCTGCTTGAAACACTGCCTACCTGATTTAACTTGTAAGCAACTAATTTCCTTTCAAGATTCAACTCAAGAGAGACCTTCTCTCGAATTATCACCAACCGGTGACCTGGCTTTGCAGAGTACAGCAGCAGGTCATTGGGCCTAGAACACCCAATTGCTCTTATGTGCTGTCAGCAAACATTTGCAGAATGAGTGGAAAAAATGAATAATTAAAATAGAAAAATAGACCAGTGCTGATAAATTACAATACTGAACATTGCAATAGTAAGTTTTATAAGAGAAATTGTAACTATAATTCTAAAGATTAGGAGTAGGTTCCTTTTATTCTGTCATTGGGAACTTTGTTAGTTACTTTGAATAACAAAACAAGCAGGAAGTCTTTCCTAAAGATGAGGAAAGAGAAGAGTCAAGTTGGAGTTAGAGAGAAGAGAGAAATTGGCAAGTTGAATTTAAGTGTGCAAGATAACCGACCGAGGATATAGCTAACATGGATCCTAAAGGGGATAAAGAGTGGCTTTCTCTGCATAGATACAAGCAATATCAACCACCATAGTTGATATTTATTGGGCATTTACTAGGAATCAGGCATTGTACATGGACTGTCATACTTAATTTTCCCTTCTGCCCCAACTGTATGAAATAGCAACTAATATTATCCCCTATTTTGTAGATTAGGAAACTTGAGTGCAAAGAGGTTAAGTGACTTTCTCATGACTGTAAGTGGCAGGGCTGGAATGTGAACTCGAGTTCATACACTTAACTGCACTGCAGATTAAACCCTGGAGGAGAGGGACTCAACAGAAGCAGCATGTATGGCAGAAAATGCTGGAGTGGGGGGAAGAAAAAGAAAACTTCTAGACTGTCCTAGGGTTGGAAATGACTGGATAAGTGTGCCCAGATGTATATACAAGACTGCTCACTGAAATGTTGTTTAAAACATGAAAAATAGAAAACAACTGAAATCTTCATCAGTAGAGGCTTGGTTAAATAGCTATGGTAGAACCATAGCGGAATTCAAAGCAGCAGATAATATGATGAAGTAGGTCGCTATATAGTCACATGGAAAGTGATTATGAAAGGGCAGGCCACTAAATGGGATGTATGGTGTGATATCATGATCCCATTAAAACCGAATCTATATGTCTATAAATGAGTGCTAATTCTTGAAGGATACACAACAAATTGTTGTCAGTAGTTATCTTCTGGGATTACAGGGGTATGTTGTGGAGGGAGGAAGAGCAATGGTACTTTGCTACCCTTCTGTATATTATAGATTATTTGATTTTTTAAATTATGTGAGTTCATTAATTTTATAGTCTTCAGAAATAATAAAACCATACTCATTTTTGAAAAAAGTAAACTTTGACATTGCCTATTAGAATTCTCAATATTCATGCGCAATACAAACATACGTATTTAAAAATTTTTTAACCACACATGCATACGTTTTCTTTGTTGATTCAATAATTTTCTATAAACTTGAAATCAAGAGTGCAAAAAATATAAGACCTCCTCTTGTTCTTTATATGAGAAACTCTTATAAATGTAAGAGATGTAGGGGTTACATGGGGGCTGGAAAATGGGAAAGAAAAAGAGGACGTGGCTGTACGAAGTGTATCTATTCCTAAACAAGGAAATGAGGTCTAATGTGAAGGGTGTAACTGAATGGCTGCTAAACTGCTAGTGGAGGAGAGAGAGGAGAGAGAGGGAGAGAGAGGGTGCTCGAGAGAAACTCTCAAAGCAGTGCACATTTATAAAACATTTTGAACACAATTGATAAATAAAAAAGTATACCCTACTAATAAAAGATGGTTATCTTAAGAACCATTGTGACAAGAATTATTTCATAGATCACACATAATAGTGATTGACAGGAGTGGTTGTTGTGATGTTTGTTGCAACTTGTGGAGAAGCGGTTGAGACCTTCAATATGTGTGTGGTTTGTTATTTGAAGGCAAAGGATATCTCAGAAGCATCTATGAGACTTTACCAGGATCTGCCACTCCACAAAGTGTCCATGATGAACATTGATAAGATAGATTTATTGAGGAAAGGCAAAGTGCCAGTAAAACAGTCAGAGGTTCTTGGATTTAATGTACAAGAGTGATGGAAACAGAACTTCTTGGGGAGCATTCCAATAAATTCCTAACTGAAGCTGCTTCCCATTTGAATCTCAGCAAAGTTAGATTCTCAGAATAAATTCTAAACTGCTGGTGGAGGAGAGAGAGGAGAGAGAGAGAAAGAGTGAGCAAGAGAAAGAGTGACAAAGAAAGAGGGAGAACTCTTAATGCAATGCATCTCTATAAATTATTTTTAAAACAATTGATCTGCTATCTTATCAAAGTTCCTCAGGTCTAAACTTTGAAGAAACACTCTTTTTGCTTTTTATCTGACATGATTAGCTAGCCTGTTTGGGGAGGTCCCCCTCACATCAGCGATACAGTAGATCACCCAGTGTGTCCGGAACGCAATGGC